CGCATGGAAGAAGCCTGCACGTTCTACGGCTTCGTTTTCCACAAGCTGAGCCCTTGGGGGTTTCTGGTTGAATCAGAGTTTTGGCCAGGAGTGAGGCCCAGGGAAGGTTCCTCCTGCAGGGAAGACATGGCCGCTGCTTGGGGCCAGGTCAGGGGAGGAGGTGAGGTTCTGGGGGCCGAGCCCTGGCAGAGTGCAGCCCACCGCAGGCCTCCGGGCGGCAATGACGGTGCTGCAGGTCTGTCCTCGCACACAGCCTTGGGAAGTGTGTGGGAGCTGCTGGGCCAGAGGGGCCTCCCAGGATGAAGGGCATGGCCGGGCATTCTGGGGGGACCCTGATTGGGGACCCCATGCACCTCCCACAGGCATTTTCCCTGACCCAGGCCCTGGCGCTACTGCTGTACAACCTGGGGGAGGGGGAGCCCCAAGAAGGACTGAGATGGCGTTTTCCACTGTGTCCGTGACATGAACGCTCGGATTCAGAAATGAAGTCGCTGGACGGCAGCCGACCCCTGCCCCTGTGGGGAGAGAACCGCAGCCAAGAGAGGGCAGAGGAGGAGCTGAGACCACAGCAAGCACAGACGGAGGCGGAGCAGCACTGGCCCTCGTCTGGGTCTCCCTGCCCAGGAGTGGGGAAGAGGCCCCCCGCCCAAAGGTCCATAAATCAGGGGCAGAGAGAGAGAGCCTGTGTACCAAGTGGCGTGGCCATCAGGATGGGCCTCCCAGGAAAAATGAACGTGTGCCGCTGCTCACTCATCGCTCACAAACAAACCTGCAGGCACGGAAGCTGGTCCCGTGACTCCTGGAGGCAGCAGTGATAGGGACACAGGCGGACAGAAGACTTTCTTCTGCGCAACTTTTTGTACCTTTTGGATTTTGAAACAAGAGTATGTATCACTTATTCATTTTTTAAAATAATAAGATCGAGCCCTGGCTGGTGTTGCTCAGTGGATAGAGCGTCGGCCTGAGGACTGAAGGGTCCCAGGTTCGATTCCAGCCAAGGGCACATGCCCAGGTTGTGAGCATGATCCCAGTAGGGGGCGTGCAGGAGGCAGCCGATCAATGATTCTCATCATTGGTGCTTCCATTTCTCTCTCTCCCTTTCCCTTCCTCTCTTAAACCAATAAAAATATCTTAAAAAATAAAAATAAAATAATAAGATCATTTAAAAAGAGATTGACAGAGGGCCTCCTTGTTCGACCTTCTTGAATGTGATGGAACAGACTCCTACTGAGTCCCCAGGGGGTGCCAGGCCCCGGTGGGTGCTGTGGGTTGTACCATGATGACAGGACGCTGTCTCTCCCTACCAGGAGCCCACTGGCCACAGGCAACCCGGGGCTCCAGGCTGGGCGGCGGGATGAGAGACCACAGAACTCCCAGAGCTTCTCCCAGCCGCCCAGCGCCCTAGGCTGTGAGCCTCCACTGGTGAGGGGTGACGGTCCCAGGCCAGCCCCTGTGGGCCTGATGACCGCAGGGCAGTCGGAGCCGAAATTCCTAAGGCCACACTGCTCCTTCCCGGCAGAATCTCGGGGACAGGGCGGTGGGAGGTGGGGAGCAGCCTGCATTGCTAGAAGTCTGTGTTTCTATGGGAAGGATCACACACAATCGTGCCCTTCTCTTGCTTCAAGCCCTCGCTTGTAACCAGCAGCCGTTGCTGAGGGTCCAATAAGCAGTGAGCCTGAGAGGGGGGGATGGCCACCTGGTGGGAGGTGTGAGCACCGCCAGGCTCTCTGGGACCAAGGCTTCCACCACCACGTGGCAGAGCCCCCCACCTCCCCCTGCCCTTTTCTGCCCCACATCCTCCCTCCCAAACCCCCGCAGCTCCCTCCTAGGCGTGGGTCCCAGCAGCATCTGGGCAGCCTGACTCCCCACCGCTTCCCCCCAGAGCCCACCTCATGTCCTCACCACACCAGAAAGAGAGAAGGCCCCCCTGGGGTGCAGCCACCCTAGGGTCCCTGAGACTCTGGAGGGGGGCTCCTCCTGGAGGGGAGTCGGGAACCGCTGTAGGGAGCCAGTGAGCCCCCGGGCATCGCCCAGACCACACTCCCGGCGCCCGGGCCGTCCTGGGTGTGCTCGGAGGCAGGTGGGCAGGGTGACCTGGGAGGCAGGCGGCGGAGATCTGCTCGCCGGGCAGCTGGGGAGCAGCAGGGTGGGACTCCAACCCTGGATGCCGAGCCCAGCCTCAGGCTCCCTTCACACGATTGCTCAGTGAGAACTCAGAGGTGCTGGCACAGCCTCGCATGTCACGGGACGGGCTGAGGCCAGAAAGAGGAGAGACATCGCCAAGGTGAAGCTCTGATACCCTTCAGCGCTCAGTGGCAGAGCCTCGGCCGTGCACGAAGGGGGGCGGGTCTGAGTCCCCGGCGAGGGCACCTACCTGGGTTTCGGGTTCGGACAGCAGGTACGAGGCACAGCCAGGTCTCAGAAACCCAGGCCTGGTCTCCCACCCTCGATGCCATTTTGTCTCCTGTCAAGACGGCGAGAAAGGCAGGCTGGTGGGGCACACCTGACACCTTACCCCTTTGGGCGACCTGATTCGTCCCAACTCCCTCCATTTCTCAGTGGTGGACCTTTGACCAGTGGTTGTGACCTCAGACATCTTCCAGGGCAGGCGGGTCAGTGGCTGAGTGAGGTCATCTAGGCCCTCAACTCTGACAAGACAGCATGGAGGAAGGGCGCCTGTGCTGGACTAGGAAGTGTCTTTCCTTCCTAAATAGCTTCAAATCCAGTTTTTTAAAGTATCAATGCTTTGCTCTGGCCGGTGTGCTCAATGGTTAGAGCATCAGCTGGTGCACGAAGAGTGGCCGGTTCAATTCCTGGTCAAGGGCACGTACCTGGGTTTCCAGTTTGATCCCCACCCCCAGTCGGAGCACCTGCAGGAGGCAACCGGTAGATGTGTCTCTCACATAAATGTTTCTCTCTCTCTCTTTCTCTCCCTTTTCCTCGCACTCTCTCTGAAAAGCAATGGGAAAAATATCCTCAGGTGAGGATTAAAAAAAAGTACTGATGCTTCAAGCACTTTGTGGGAGGGGGTGTGGGGCACAGATGGAACAGGATGGGCCATGAGTTGGTACTAGTGAAAGTGGGGCATGGGGAACACGGGGTTAACACCATTCTGAGTAAATGTGTATGTCTTAAATTTTCCGTAATAAAAAGGCTTTATTATGAATACGCTATCAAGAAACCTATTGAGTCCTCAAGCCATATGAGACCCACAGGCCGCCAATTAGCACAGTCCTGACATCCCTAACAGTCCCCGGTGCTCCCTTTCCTTCATGGCAATTCTCTCTGCGAGGCCCGGGCCGGGAAAGACCAGGGAGGGACAGACACAGTGGCTGGGGAAGGGCTTGGAGCCGGCCATCGGCCATCAGCCATGCTGATGAGCATGGACTCTGGGCATTTGTAGGGGCCCTGTGGAAATGGAATCAGTCACACCCCCTGTACCTGTCTAACCCCTCCCCCCTACCCCTTGCCCACCCCCCTGCACATCACTGTACCTTGCTCCCCTTTCTTACCACCCACCCACTCAGGGAAACTAGCAAATAGAGGGGTGATGTCCTCAGGCTGCAGGAGGGGGCCTATTTCATTCGGATGAAAAATAAAATGCCCGAGAAGCTTGGCACATTCAGGGCGCCTGTGACTCTAAGGGGGTCGCACTGACTTCCTGCCAGACCTCCCAGCAGGTGGAAGCGAGGTGGGGAGAGAAGGTCCCTGTTTTATTTTTCCTTCTGGTTCTTAGGCTGCCTACCATTCGCCACACTCACCTCCTAATCCTAACATCGTCCAGTTTATAAAGTGCTCTAATACGTACATCCTGTCATCTTCCAACCTGTGAGGTGGGAATCATCCCCATTTCATAGGTAAGGAAACTGAGGCTCCACACGAGTAAGTGTCTTGCCCACGATCAGCTCGCTTGTCAATGGCGGCATCCAGGGCGGCTGGCCCCGGGTTTAATGTTCTGTACCCCGATTGGGAGGGCTGGCGGCAGCTCCCTGTCACTGGGCTCTCCGGCTCTCCATGGGCCTGCGGGCAGAAAGAGTGTCATTGACGTTCCTAAGGAGTCGGCTGGGGTGGCAGGAGGTTTGGATGGGCTGCTCCGTGTGCATCACCATGTTTTCATTGAGGAAAATTGGCCGAGGGAATAGTCGGACTTGAACGGTTCTCCTGGGATGACATGGACCCGGGACCTTTGAATTCCTCCCTGTTGCTGTGTGATGACCATGCAGCCCCTAATTCTCTCCTGAGTGTGACACAGACGGGGAGCTGAGAGAAGACACGGACACTGTCCACCTGGGCGAGGGGCAGTGACCTCATCTGAGATCAAACCTTAATTCTGCCGTAGTCTGCTGTGTGACTCCAGGCCAGGCTTTTCCCTCTCTGGTCCTCTGGCAACAAAACCAAGGCTATCTCTCTCCTGTGCCCGCTCACTGCTCAGGGAGGCGCCAGCTCCTCAGCAACCTCCTGAAGAAGATGATGGAGGGAAAGAGAAAATGCCCCACACCCCTCACTGGTTTGAAAATTTGACCCAGGGGAGCGGGGGATGTGCAGGTGACTGGGGAGAAGCCCGTGTGTGTGTGTGTGTGTGTGTGTGTGTGTGTGTGTGTGTGTGTGTGTGGTGTAGAATGAAATTGCTAGGAGGCGGGATGAAACCGGCTGGTGTGGACCCAGCCATCCAGCCCTGGCCCACACAGAGTTTGCTTTTCGGTGCCTTTTCCTCTGTTATTTTGGCTTGTTTTCCAAACAAGGGTCAAACGGTCTCCCCCCCAGAAGCAACGGCAGCAGAAGGAAATGCTATTAAAGATGAGTTTGTTAGTGGGCATGATGTGTGGACGAAGTCTTTGGGAGCTTTGGCTGCCAAATAAAGACTTTATTGTTGTCATTCCTCCTTTCCCAAGCTCCCTCCCTCTCTGCTCTCCTCCCTCCCTCCTCCCCTCCCTCCCTCCAATCGGCCTGTCCCTCCCCCTAACCTAGCCTCCCCACCCCAATAGGATCTGGTAGAAGAACAGTCAGGCAAACACAAGCACGCTCACACCACCGGGAGGTCAGAACTTCCAGCGGGCTCTCTGCTGCCACAGCTCCACCGCTGGGTGGGGGGGAAGCAGAGGGAGCCTTGAGCCGTGAGCCTTGAGCCTTGCTGGGGACTCACCCGGAGCTGGGAGCAGAGGCAGGTGTGTGCAGGTAAGCCCCATGGGGAGATGGGGAGGAAGCCCCCTTCCTCCAGCCAGTGTCCTGCCCTGGGCAGCCTGGTTACTGATCTCATCTCCGTCTCCTGCTTCCTTTCAAATGAGCTCAAGTCAGCCTTCCTCGTGGCTTCTTCCCTCTCTCCATCATCCTCTCCCTGTGTATTTGCTGGCTGCAAAAGTTGAACTTTCTTGGTACAGATGTTTGTTGTAGCACGGAGTTATGCTGCACGTAGTATTTTTACACATCACGTATTTCCATAGAAACCAGAATCCAGAGCCCATGTCTCTGCACCTTTCACATACTGTCACGCACTGTCACAGGCACGCACACAAGTTGCACGGGGGCTGCACTTTCATTACACACACACACACACACACACACACACACACACACACACTGCACCTTGTCTCACCCTCTCATGTGCCTCTCCGGCCATAAGAGCAGAGAGAAAGCGTGTCTTCCCACTGAGGTGGCAGAGCCGATGAAAATCATGTGCTGAGCGTAGGCAGAGCAGGGAGGACATGAACAAGAGAGGAGTTGGGAGGGTTTCCTCGTCCTTTAGACCTTAATTGGGTCGGAGGGAGAAAACCGCGCTTTCCAGCCTGCCCAGGACCCGCCTGGCTGCTCTGAAGTTCTGTCTCGCTGGTCCAAACCACCGGCTTTGGGAAAGAAAGAGAAGAAAGGATCCAGCTTCCGAGCCTTGGGGTCCCAGTCCCCAGCTCAGGAGGCAGTTCACTTTTCTGCAGGCAGCCCGACAAAAGCTCTCTTTAAACCATTTCATAATTATCCCAGGAGTCTTTGCAGCAGAGGAAAAACGATAGTACTGTAGTTTCTCAGTGAGTCAGGGAGGGGAAACGGGAGGGGTAACTGAATGGGGCTTGTTTCCAAATAGGTGACCCCTGTCCATCTCAACAAGGGAGAGTTGTCCCCAGGCGGAGGGGAGGGGAGAGTAGGGGGGTTAGGGGAGGAGGGCTAGATCAGGGGCTCCAGATATGGCTGCAGATCTTCACAGTCATCTGGGGGCAGGGGAGGGGGGATTGCGAGGGGACTTACTGAGAACACAGAAGTCTGGACCCCTTGCTCCAGACCTGCTGAACACAGACCTGGGAATCTGTCACTGTGTTAGTACAGATGGCCGGCCAGGGCTGGAGACCCTGGATCAGGCACCTGAGGGAGACCTGTGTGGGGACCAAAGAGCCCGGGGCTCATGGCGTTGCTGGCTGGGCAGAAGGGCTTCGTGGTTTCCTGGACAAGGACTATCTGATGGAGGAGGACCAGAACGCCCCACGTGGGCCACCTCCTCGGGGAGTGGGAGTTGGTGCTGACCCAGGAAAGATCCCCTGTGAGCTCTCCCCTCCATCCTCCTTGCAAGCACCGGCTGCCACATCAGGAGGAGCATCCTGGAGAGAAAGATTCCCCCCACCTGCTCCTCTGCCTGTCCTGAGCCTGGGGCACTGCGCTGGGCCCCTTCCCATCCCGCCAGACCCCTCTCCTCCCGCCCAATCGCTGTCTGTTCTGATGGCCTCACGGGGAGATGGGCTGGACAACAAGGTCTGCCCAGTGGGCATCCCCATTTACTGGGCATGTGAGGGGCGATTCAAGCCTGGAAGGGGCAAAAAAAGCAGATGTGGGAGGTTGGGATGGGAATCATGGGTCACATGGGAAGCCACCTTTGTGCCTCCCCCTCCACATCCCTTCACCTGTGGCAGAAAGGCGGGGGGCAGGGGAGCAGTAGTGTATTGGAGGACAGAGTGAGTATTCCAGGTGGCTGGGGGTTCTATGGTCTCTCCAATTAGTTGGTTCTCAGACCCCAGTGTGGTCTCACACACAGGCCCCAAGTGAGACGAAGTCGCTCTGTGTGAAGGAGCTGGAGGGAGGGGACCCATGAACCCCTACCCACCTGCCAGGATGCCTCCACCTGGTGGGGCGCTGAGCTGCCCTCCGGCCAGGCTGGAGAGAAAGCCACCCCATTGCTCCTAACAACAGCTTAATGTTCAGGGAGCACTCACTTTACACACATTGACTCATTTAAGCCTCAAATCACCACAGAAAGGTGTTAATGCGCCCATTTTACAGATGAGTGAGCTGAGCTTAGTCAAGGTCAGAGGTTTGCCCAAGAGCACCCAGTGACGAAGCTGAAGGGTATCTATAGGGTTAGGCCCCTGATCCCCAAGCACCCAGGCCCGCAGATAGGAGATGGCGAGTCCAGGAGCAGAGCCAGCTCAGTGCTGTGCCCTCTTCTCCCTCCCCACCCCGCCACCCCTCCACCCTTCTCCACCCCCCACCCCTCCACCCTTCCCCACCCTCCTCACCCCTCCAATGGAAACTTGCTCCTCTGCACCGGTGGCCTGAAGCCAAAATATCTTCCCTCTGTTTACACTTTGCCTGTGGTAGAAGCTGGGGAGGCAGATGGTCTCTCCACCCTAGTGTTATATTGATTTTTAGCACCTTTTGAGCTGTAGCACATTTTAAAGTGACTTTTCACACTTGCTCTGACAACAACTGGGTGAGGAATGCAGGGATAGGGACAATTTTATTAACCCCTTTCACAGGTGATAAAACTGAGGCCGAGAGCGGGTTGGGCGACTAGGGAGTGGTGGGCAGGCGGAGGGCCCTCCTCCCGGGGAGAGTTTGCACCGCGAAGCTCTCCCCCCACAGTCCCAGTCAAGCTAAAACTTATGTCGGCCAAAACTTACACCGGATTGCGGGTTGTGTGTAAGTGGCAGCTGCAGATTGCGCCCCCAGGGAAGCGGCAGCTGCACAGTGTCCCTATTGAACTCATGCTCGTGTGCCCATATCAGCCCTCCCATCACCTCAGGCCTCACAAGCCCTACTCACGGGCCTGCAAAGGCTCTAGGGCAGGGGTGGGCAAACTTTGTGACTCGAGGGCCACAATGGCTTCTTAAACTGGACTCAGAAGAAGGAGCTGCGGCCGTGTTTCCCGACGTTGCCATGTTAACACTGCTGCTGGTGAAGGAGCGGAGGGGAGAGCAAGAGACCCTCCGCTCTTTCGGCTCCTTGGGCCGGATAGAACAGCCGAACGGGCCGGATCCGGCCCGTGGGCTGTAGTTTGGCCACGGCTGCTCTAGGGCAACCTAGTTGGCCTGCCTGGCTCCTGCTCACCTGGGCAGAGACCGCCTGACCCTCCTGGCTCCCCCCTCCCCCTGGGCTGCAGGGTGGCTCTCAGAAGCTGGAATGTAGAACAGAAAGGCGGGAATCGAGAATGAGGGTCACGCCCATGTCCCTGGGTGTGGCTCTGGGGCAGGAGGCAGCCCCATTTCCCACGGCAGCGTGGTGGCTGGGTTAAGCCATGGAGGTTTAGGGGTGACCAACTAGGCAGGGAATCTGACAAGAAAGAAAGAAGGATGCCAGTAAGCCGTGTGGAGTATTCCTTTAACGGGGAGACACACCCAACGTGTGTCCAGCCAACCCCAATTCCCGACTCTCCATACAAAACCAATTACCCTTCAACTTTCCCCCAGTGACTTGGAAATCCCGTGTGGACCTCAGCCCAGCCCTGCCCCGAGCCTGTGTATTGCACCAGTCCTGGGCATTCGAACGTGAAATAAATGGGTTCATGAGCTAGACCAGCGGTTCTCAACCTGTGGGTCGTGACCCCTCTGGGGGTCGAACGACCCTTTCACAGGGGTCACCTAAGACCATCGCGGAAAACACATATATAATTACATATTGTTTTTGTGATTAATCACTACGCTTTAATTATGTTCAACTTGTAACAATGAAAATACATCCTGCAGATCAGATATTTACATTACGATTCATCACAGTATCAAAATTACAGTTATGAAGTAGCCACGACAATAATTTTATGGTTGGGGGTCACCACAACATGAGGAACTGTATTAAAGGGTCACGGCATTCGGAAGGTTGAGAACCACCGAGCTAGATAGAGATGAGGCGAGCTCGCTTTACAATCAGCCTCTGGGGCATCTGCTCTTTTATAAACAAACCGGTGGATGAGCGAAGCCCCTGCCATTTGCAGAGCTCAGGCGCTGTGACAGGCCTTCGTGTGCATGACCTCATCTGATCCTCATAGGGATGGGAGCCTGAGGCCTGGGGCGGAGGGGCAGGGCGGGATGCAAGCCCAGATCTCCAATCCTGGAACTGACATTCACACTTCAAACACGCTTGGGAAATGTTCTTAAAGGGAGAGACTGAATTTTGAGCCGGGCAAAGCGATGGCAGTCCCCCCAGAGCAGCAGCGTTCTGAGAGCCAGTGCCCGCGAACAGGGCCCGCTGGGCAGCGTGTCTGGCCCCCCAGCGCTCAGCGACGAGCTCTGAGCTCAGCAGAAGGCTGGGAGGTGGGAGAAATTTAAAAATGACACACACTTGGGACCCATACCCTAAGAGAGCGTATGATTGGGCAGAGCTTCTGGAAGGCAGCAGCACGAGAAAGCGTGACCTTGGGCTTTGGCAGGGGAACGGTGAGTCCCCGAGGAGTTCAGGATTTAGGACAGGACAGTGCACGCCAGAGCTGCGCTGTCAGGACTTCCCTCCAGGGCCAGGCCCCAGCGGGAAGAGGCGTTGCCGGGTGAGAAAAGCCCTAGAAATGAACGCTATTTCCCCGAGAAAGAGGCGTGGCGGCTCGAATGCCCGCGAGCACACAGGGTGGTTCTGCACAGGCTACGAAAAAGGGAGTTAACAGACCCAGTCTCTCTGGGGAGCAGCGCCCCCAGCTTTTCCTAGGGAGCCCCCATCTGCTGTGGGAGGGGCCTGGCCAGCCCCCCGAGGTCTGAATGTAAAGGCTCAGGACTGTGGGCAGATCCTAACTTCCTGAAGGGTGTGGGAGGGCGGGCGGTGGGATGAGGAAGGCCTGTGCTCATTTCTGAGGGAAGGAGTGGGGGGCTGGTGTGCAGGCAGAGCTGTGACTCACCCGTGACCCTGTCACTCCTGCCCATGAGGCCTGGAGCCACTGAGAAACACCCCTGGCAAGGCCAGGGTCACCCATAGAGGGGGCTCCCGCTGGAAGCTCTGGACCCGTTTCCTGCTTAACTCGGGGCCCAGGACCCGGCAGAGGCTGTGCTGACAGAGCAAGGCCAGGAAACTGGGAGCCTCTTTGGGGCAGGGCTTCTCCCATCGTGAGAGATTGTTTATTTCAGGTTTCTGGGGGATAAGAAAATAAATGCCCAAACAAAAAGTTCCAGGGTCACAACAATTGGGGCTTTTAAAAATGTTTGTTTTTAGTATACGAATGCTTTAACTGCCTCCTTAAAATTGATATGCAAAATGATGGTGTTAACTATATAATAAAAGCCTAAGAGACCCTTATGGCAGAATGACTAGAATGACCGGTCGCTATGATGCGCACTGACCACTAGGGGGCAGACGCTCAATGCAGGAGCTGCCCCCTGGTGGTCAGTGAGCTCCCATAGGGGGAGTGCTACTCAGCCAGAAGCCGGGCTCACAGCTGGTGAGCACAGCGGTGGTGGCAGGAGCCTCTCCCTCCTCCATGGCAGGCAGCGCTAAGGAGCAGTGAGCAGGTGGGCAGTAAGGAGCAAGGGGTCCTGGACTGTGAGAGGGCGCAGGCCGGGCTGAGGCCCCCCCCCCCAGGGCACGTATTTCATGCACCAGGCCTCTAGTTAAGAAAATTATAGGACTTATGAAATAGTCATTCATGGTTCATCAAGTGGCGTTGGTCCGGCCTCAAGACGCCAAGTGTAGTTTTACGATGACTGCCTTCTCTTTCCCGCCCTCTCATGTGTCCCTGGGACTGTTGTAGCCCTGACTGTAGATAAAGCGAGAATCCAACAGCAGCTCCTTTGTGACCGGAGGCCCAGGAAAAGGGGCCCTCTTGGTCCCCGTGGGGGAGCCGGCCTGGGCAGAGAGAGGGAGGTGGAGAGGCAACAGAGTCTGCAGGCAACCTCTTCCCTGCTTCCTCCTAGTGTGTCTGTCTGCCTTCCCTCCCTTCCTCCCTCCTTCCTTCCTTCCTTCCTTCCTTCCTTCCTTCCTTCCTTCCTTCCTTCCTGTGCTCAGGGTACTATATATACAGGCTTACACAGGCACACAGAGCACATACAAACATGAGTTTGCCTCTGTATGGTATAGAAGTGTGTGTGTGTATGCAGAGAAGTGTGTATGTGTGTGCGCAGAGAAGTGTGTATGTGTGTGTATGCAGAGAAGTGTGTATGTGTGTGCGCAGAGAAGTGTGTATGTGTGTGTATGCAGAGAAGTGTGTATGTGTGTGCGCAGAGAAGTGTGTGTGTGTGTGTGTGTGTGCACATGTATGCAGGCTGGAAGTCAGGATGTGCATGTGAAAAGTGTGGGAGACTCCCTCCAGCCCTCCAGGCTTGTGCTCTCCCTTCTTTCCTGTTTCTTTTTACATTCAGCTCCTTCGGAGCACCTGGCTGGGACTGAGCAGCTGGTGAGGGGCTTCTATTGTCTTCCTCTGAGCAAAGCCGGCACCGAGTCAGCCACTCATGCAGGGAGGAGTCTCAGTGGATGTGGGCTCAAAGGAAAGAGAGCGGGTGGCCTGGACAGAGGCAGTGATCATAGGGTCTGGATGCAGCGGGGGACACACTCCAGCCCAATCTATCTCAGAGAAACCCAGGAAGCCTGCATCCCCAGGGTGTCCCAGATCCCTGAAGGGGGCGGGGAAGACACCACAATTGTGAAGAAGCAGCCAGAGGGGCCGGGAGAAGCAATGTGGGAATGACGACCCGATTGGAGACCAGAGGGCTGTCATAAGGATGAGGGCTCTGGGGAGGGGGTGGTACATGAACCCCCTTCCTGGGCCCTTCCCAGTCAGGCCAGGGGAGAGGCCTATGGGAGCTGCCACTATGCGTCTGCTAGCCCAAGTCTATTGCTATTTTCCCAGCTTAGTTCAACTATAACCACATGGTCCCATTGGGGACAATGGGAAGGGCAACCCCAAAATATCCTCCAGCAGCCTATTCCCCTGTCACTGAGGCTGGCAGGAAGCTCTTCTTGGTCCCTCCACACGACCAACTCCAGCGCACAGAACAGCCATGCCTCCCAGCCGGTGTGGCTCCGTTGGTTGGGCACCATCCCATGCACAGGAGGTTGTGGGTTTGACTCTGGTCAGGGCACATGCCAGGGTTGTGGCCTTGAGCCTTAGTGGGGCCTGTGCAGGAGGCAGCCAATCGATGTTTCTCTCTCATTGATGTTTCTATCTCTCTCCCTCTCCCTTCCTCTCTCTGAAATCAATAAAAACATATTTTAAAAAAAAGAGAGAGAGAGAGAGAGAGAGCAGCAATAACAGGCCACAAGAAATGAAAGTGATTTCCCCACAGCTTTCAAGCTCTTCCTTGTTTTCTTTCCAGAAGCCTCCACATCTGTGGGGGAATTCTTGGTGTGTATCCTGCTGGCAAGGGCCAGTGTTCGCTGAGCCGAGTGCAGTGGGTGAGGGACACGCAGGGGGGACACACACGTGTCTGCAGCCCTTTCCTTCCTTCCCAGAATCTCCACGGGCCCCACCCTGGAAGGCAGGAGCCCTGGCCCTGCTATGAAATAACTTCCTGGCCTCGGCAGCCACTTCCTCCCTCCAGTACTCAGGGTTTATAAACAGTAGAGTCTGCATGTCATTGGTGGATTTCAAACCAGTTTTTAGCAATGCAACTTTATTTTTCAAATGAGTGCTTTGGTTAAACATAGATAGATAGATATAGATATAGATATAGATATAGATATAGATATAGATATAGATATAGATATAGATATAGATATAGATATAGATATAGATATAGATATAGATATATTATGGACATGGATATGGATATGGATATGGATATGGATATGGATATGGATATGGATATGGATATGGATATGGATATGGATATGGATATGGATATGGATATGATATGATATGGATATGGATATGGATGTAGATGTAGATAAAGATATAGATATACATCAGATTAAAATAACACAGAGCTGCTCGGGTTGGCACAGGTTGAGCTGGGTGTCCCAGGGCCAGCTCCTTGGTCTCCCTCCCTCCATAGAAATGGGGGCACCATTGAAAACCATTGAGCTGTGTGATCTCTAAGGACACGTCTGGATTGTAACCCCCGCCCCCCCGCCCCCCCCCCCCCCTCATGGCTCATATGCCCTAACTCCCTCTTATGAGGACAGGACTGATTTTCTCGCGCTGCAGAGGGGGAGCCTGAGGGCTGGAGGGCAAGCGCAGGACTCCTGCTTCACCCCCCGGTGTGCTTTCTGCAGGAGGGCTCCCTCCCAGAGCGGGCTGAGCACACTGGGTGGCGAGGCCTCCGGCAGGGAACCCAGACCCTCGAGCCCTGGTTACTTTCTCACCTGCTGGATACAGGCGAACAGGGAAATGCTCCACAGGCCCCTCCAGAGCCCCCCGGGAGCCGTCCTGGCTACTTGAACTGCAAAGTCATGGCCTCTAATTGCTGAGGCCCAACTGGCTAATGACCTTCCGCATCTCTCCCTGCAGGTGCATCACCCGGATCATGAGGTCATCTCTCTCCTTGCTCCTCCCACTTCTCCTCATCTTGGCCTCAGTGACCAAAGGTCAGCCAACAAGGCGACCAAAACCCGGGGGCAGGCCCAGGCCCAGGCCGAGGCCCAGGCCCACACCATCGAAGCCTACCGACCTGCCTCCTCCCCTCCCACCAGGCCCTCCGTCTCTCTTTGCTGACTGTCCCCGGGAATGCTACTGCCCCCATGACTTCCCGTCTGCCCTCTACTGTGACAGCCGCAACCTCAGGAAGGTGCCTGTCATCCCACCCCGCATCCATTACCTCTATCTCCAGAGCAACTTTATAACTGAGCTCCCAGTGGAGTCCTTCAAGAACGCCTCGGACCTGCGGTGGGTCAACCTGGACAACAACAAGATCAGCAAGGTGGACCAGAAGGTGCTGGAGAAGCTACCCAGCCTGGCGTTCCTCTACATGGAGAAGAACCAGCTGAAAGAGGTGCCCTCCGCCCTGCCCCGGAACCTGGAGCAGCTGAGGCTGAGCCAGAACCAGATCTCCAAGATTCCCCCGGGGGTCTTCAGCAAGCTGGAGAACCTACTGCTCCTGGACCTCCAGCACAACCAGCTGAATGACAACGTCCTCAAGCCTGACACCTTCCAGGGCCTCAAGAAACTCATGCAGCTCAACCTGGCCCACAACGAACTGAAGAAGATGCCCCCCAAGGTCCCCAAAGCCCTTCACCAGCTCTACCTGGACAGCAACCAGATCGCGACCATCCCTAACGGATACTTCAAGGCCTTCCCCAACCTCGCCTTCATTCGCCTTAACTACAACAAGCTGTCCGACAGGGGGCTCCCCAAGAACTCCTTTAACCTCTCCAATCTGCTGGTGCTCCACCTGTCCCACAACAAGATCAGCAGCGTGCCTGCCATTAACAACAAGCTGGAGCACCTGTACCTCAACAACAACCACATCGAGAGTGAGTGGGGGGGCGGGGCCAGGCCCGGGCGGGAGGCTGGGGACTCGCCACGTCAGCCTGTTCTCAGGAGCCGGAGGGTGGGGGTGTGCAAGAGACACCCTGCTTGACCCTGGACTTCAAGCCACGGCCTTACCACTCGCTATCTGCATGAGCTTGGACAGATAGTTGGCCTCCCTGGGAAGTTCCCTCCTCTGTAAAGTGAGAATGGTAATAATATCATCAACTTGGTATGAGGATGTAGTCGTTTACCGTGGATGCCGTGCCCCGAATGCCATGGCTGGAGGGTGCTCGCTTCTCTTCCTCCATCTCTTCTCATCAGCCCCAACTTCTCTGCCCTCCAGATCTGTCGGTAGGGTGGACACGGAATACAGTCCTGGACATTCTCCTAAAAGCAGAACAGTGACATTTACATGCCCACTCTGAAAAAAAATAAAAAATGCCCTCTCTGAAATGCCCGGGCCTGTCCGCCGCGGACACTGGCAGCTGAGTGAGATGGCATCCCCCCAAGTCTGCGCCTAGCTTCTGAAGCATCTGTAAAAGGTATACACAGAGAGGCAGCCGGACAGGGTGGGCAAAAGTAGGTTCATAATAATGATCAACAGTACAATAATAAATAAATAAATAATACTACAGAATAAACGCTGTTTCAACTGTAAGCCTGCTTTTGCCCACCCCTGTATATGCCGGGTCCGCCCCTGGTGAAAATGCGGCAGCCAGGAAAACACACTGGTAGGGGGGGCTTTCAGAGTCCATCTGGGGAGCTGGAGTAGCTAGTTGTGTAAGGCGGTACGCTGAAGGCAGGACTCCCCTCCGCTGCTTTTACAGGGTCCTGGGCTATGGGGTATCCATTGCAGCCCAAAAGAACAGACTAGTTTTGCTTCCATCAACAATGTCAGCTCTAAGTTGAGTGTCAGGAGAAAGGCTTAAAATCAAAAGTACCAATATGACCTGGCCATGGGAGCACATCAGGGGTGCAGCCGCTGCAGAGATGAAGGGGCCAAAGGGAAAGGGAAGCTCCCCTCAAATCACCATAGGAACCCTTAGTTGCCCAGCCCAACGGGGTGAGGGAGATTGTTGAGTGTCTACAACCTGGAAGCAAGTGGTGGCGAGAACAGGCTTTGCTCACTCGTCTGGGATAATTACAGAGTGAGAGGGGCTTCTAACATCTGGCAAGAAACAAACTCGGGGAGTAAACGGAGGCCGCTCATTGCTCCCCGGGATGCTGGATAGGCCGAAAGTATAGCCAGAAGCCACATAACTGACAGGTCTGTCCCGGTGGAAGAACAGGCTTCTGGGGACAGCCAGCCTCCTGAGGGTGAACTCGGAAAAATCAACGCACCCTCACCGTGTCGCCGGTCCGGGAGCTGAGCATCAGGGCGGTCCCCTGACGGGCCAACATGACAGAGGCTGTAAGAAAATCCCCGTCAGGCTCTCTCTGCTGCCCCAGTGGCGAAGAGAGAAAAACAACGGCCCCGCAGATGATAAATGAGGCCAGGCTTAGGGGAATAAAATTTCATTTCCTTGCTGCATCTGATGTCATCTAGCAAGAGGTGAAGGAGAAAATGAAATCTCATTTTCCACTGGAAAGCCCAGGATCAGTAATCACGTCAGAATCAATAGGCTCAGCCAGCCCCTCGGGCCCTGTGCCCTCCCCATACCCCCTTCCCTTCCTGGCAGCCCTGTGTCAGTTACTGGGACCACCTTCTGCCCATCCATGTGCCTCAGGTCCAGGCCACAGGACCCTCCCACACCCACCTGCCGGCTCAGATCTCGCCTCACCCCACTCTCTCCCCACTGCAGCTAGATCCGTCTTTCTACAATATAAGCCTTGTGATCGGCTCCTTCCAGATTTCACCCCCAGGACACCATAGTTCACATATCCTACCATCCCTGTCACAACAGCAGCCCTGCTCAATACCAGTCCTCAGGCTGAAGATCAAAGCCCGTCCTTAGTGAAATCGCTGAAAGCCGACCATAATTGGGGGCCATAGCTCACCTTTCCAGCTCACTCTCCCTGTTTCATCACACTTCATCATACTGTGCTGTTCACTACTCCCAGATTCTCCCGTGATCCTTTTGGCCCCCACAACTCTTTGCAAATAGGTTCCTCTATCAAAACCCCAGCCCCAGGCCTCCCCCTGCTATAATCCTACCCAACTTTGAAGGCTCAACTCACAGCTTTCTTCCTCCGTGACTCCTCAGAGTAAATCTCCAGTAACCACTGTGGATCAATTCCAACTTGATTAATTAATTTTATAACGAGTAACCGGGCCTAGCGGTAAGGGTCGACTATCCAGCGTCACACATTCCTACTGTCGGCCAGTTCCCGGGAGAAGTCTAGTCCTGACTCTCAGTCGTCCACCCTCTCCTTCCTCATCTCAGTGCCCTCGGCCCTGGCCCCGCCCTCCTCTCCTGCTCACCTCTCCCCTTCTCTCTCCATAGAGATCAACGGGACCCAGATTTGCCCTTACAACCTGTTCACCTTCCGGGACTTCTCGGATCTGGAGAACGTGCCACACCTGCGCTACCTGAGGCTGGACGGGAACTACCTGAAGCCGCCCATCCCGCTGGACCTCATGATGTGCTTCCGCCTGCTGCAGTCCGTGGTCATCTAGGCCTGGCTCTGCCCTGCGTCCTCTCCGATCGCCCTTGAAGGCTGGTGGCCCAGGCGCCGGGCCCACCACTCATCTTCTCTGTCTCCCTGTCTTTCTCCCCGCTTTGCCTTTCTCAGCCCACCTTCCTGAGGCGGGACGAGCCACAGCCTCAGGACCGAGACCTCCCAGGCCTTGGGGGGTCCACCCAGCCCAGAGACACCCACTGCATGCTGACCCTCTGGCCCAGAGCACAGGTGTCTGTTTAAAAATTTCATAGTCCCTGCTGGCCCTGCTTCCCCGTCACTCCTGGGTAAGTCTGGGCCTGGACTGACATCTGGATCTCAGCCCTGGTGAAGCAAGAAAATGGTCCGGAGTGGCCCAGAGGTGAGGCTCAGGAAGCTCTGCAGGGACTCCTCCTGCGTGGGCAGCTCTGGCCCCAAAGGACCACAGCACCAGGTCCCATTGGCCAAGGATCTGCCTTGCAAAGTGCTGCTCCGCCACCTGTCCGCGGGCACCAGACATCGCCGCCAGCCCGTGTCCTCCAGAAAGGAAGGCAGGGCATGGCCGGGGAGGGCAGAGGGGCAGGTTCCCGCAAGGGCCTGCACCCGGCCTACTCTTCACGGGGAGGAGCTGGGCCCTCTCTCTCCAGGGTGAACGCAGCTCACACCCTCCTAACGGGGCCTCCTTGTTCCAAGAGGAAGAGTGGGGAGGACCAGTCCAGGAGAAGCCTGGCTGGGGAACCAGGAATCAGCCAGGGGGAGTGGGGTGGGAGTCAGAGCCCTGGGACGTGCCCGTGGGGTGCGAAGGGGTCCTTCAGCCCCCTGGCCACTCTGAACAAGAGGCCTAATGCCTGGGGATCACCATGTCCCAGTGGAGGGCGCAGAGCCACCCCCCTCCCCACCTCCCCCCCGCCGCCATCTGTTCTCTATCAGTGGGGACGACCCAATCCTTTCCACCCCAGAGAGGTTCCTGAGAAACCCGAGAGAAGGGGTGGGCATCCGGAGATCTTCCAGAAGCTTCTTCCACGTGTGCACATTGGCCTCCCCCTAAGACAGACACATCAGTGACACCTGGTGGCTGATGTGGGACAGAGATGGCCCCTCCTCTTCACCACCCTGGGGGTGATTTTCCAAGGTCAAGGACTCCCAACTTGAAGAGCCAGGGGCCCTGTGCATGGTCTCTCTCTCCTCTGGGTCTAAAGGGCACAGAGCTACAGTGGCCCTGAGTTGGGAATGCGGTGGAGGAGGGGGGGCTTGTTCCATGATGGGGGAGCAATGGTGGGAACCTTGGGGGCCCAGGTGAGGATGCAGTCTGCTCCTGATTGCTGTCTGACCTTGCCGCGCCTTCCGCTCTCGGCTCCCACAGGCTGTACACCCCGCCAAGGCCCCTCTAGCGCTCACGTTCCATTCTGCGGCTCCACTTAGGCCCTTGCTCAATGCAAGGCAAGTCCTCAGCATTCTCTCCCTCCCTTGCAGTTATTTATTCCCTGGACGGACTGTCCCTCCCCCAAAGTTCCCACCCTCCCTGCCTGGCCCACGTGCAGCTTGGCCAGCCTCAAGGGGACCTGGGCCCCAGGGCTGACTCACCTAGGCCTTCCTCTGACCTGCCTCTAGGGGGTGCTGCCCCTCCACAGTCCCGGAGGGTGTATGCGGGTGGCTGGCGTGGATGTTCTAGAAATGAGTGGTACTCAGTGCCTCCCCTCAACACAGGTTTAGAAAAGGTCCAGAGATTTTAAATTGTATTAAGCTAGACCCCTAACTTCAAGAAGCTCCCATTAGACTCTTTCTCGTTGTCCTCTTGTGCTAGTTTACAGAAACGGAGCGCATTTTACCCCAGCCCCCTTCCCCTGCTCCCATGAGGGCCTCATCTTCCGCTGCAGCTGGCTTCTCCGAGGCTCCTGCTTAGAGTCAGTGCAGTCCCGGGGCTGTAAGCAGCCTGGTGCTCCGGCCTGGATAAGCCCCTCTGCACCTTGGTCACACCTTTAACCTCAGCCCCTCTGAGGAGGCCCTCGGGGAGCACAGCCCTGTGGCTCCGGGAGGGGGGCCTTCTCCTGCCCCTGCAGACCCAGCAGCAACACAAGCACCATCACCCCTTCCCTCCATTGCTCCCTGCGGCTGTGAGCCAGAGAGGATTCCAGTTAAACTGACTTGACAGCAACCCCCTCTTTCTGTCCCCCCACCGCCCACACACATGCTGTGCTGGTTTCCCGTGGGTTTCAGGAAGCTCCCCGCCCCCCCTCCCCACAGCACACACAGGCTGGGCCCGGTGCTGTTGCCTCTGCACGCCCAGCCGCACAGGTGGGTGTCTGTGTGTACTCTGTCCATATGGCTGTCCTCCTGGGAGACCGCGTGGCTCTGTGAACCAGCTCCCGCGTTGCAGCGCGCTTCACAGCAGAGGAAATAAAGGAATATGAGAGCATCCAGCTTGGACTGGGCCCTGTGAACAGGTCGGGAATAATCCCCCAAGGTCCCTCTGCCGCCCCCTTCCTCCTCCCGCCATCCCCTCTCCCCGTGCTCTGAGCCGATGGGTGGGGAAAGGGTCTTAGTCTTAAGAAACTCTAAGTAAACGATTCCAAAGCCTTTTCTTGGTGACTTTCCCCCAAAACTTACAATTCTCGTGAAAAATTATTCCCAAAGTCTGACCAGAAATCTGACAGCTACATTGGAGGCCCAAAGGCCCAGGACTTTCAACCCACAGATGCCAAATGGTTGAGCGTCTCCCAAAGGCTCAGCTCTGAGCCAAAAACGGAAGACGCAAAGCAGACACCGCCCCTGACCAGGTGACGGGCGCAGACTGGCCGAGATGCCGTGTAAAACCCGAAGCAGTGGCAGCACTGCCTCAGGCCACAACCCAGGGCCACCTCATCTGGGAGGACTGACAGGCTGTGCAAGGTGTCTGTCCACAGAAGGGCGAGAGGAGGGCACCCCTAAGTCTCCCTTCAGATGGAAGGTTCTAGAAGTAGGCGTGTGATCCTCCCAACCTACATCTTCTTTAGGATGCTGCCCTCACCCTGCCTCTAACACAGCGGTTCTCAACCTGTGGGCCGCGACACCTTTGGCGGTCGAACGACCCTTTCACAGGGGTCGCCTAAGACCATCCTGCATATCAGATATTTACATTGCGATTCATAACAGCAGCAACATTACAGTGATGAAGTAGCAACGGAAATAATTTTATGGTTGGGTCACAACATGAGGAGCTGTATTTAAAGGGCCAGAAGGTTGAGAACCACTGCTCTAACACCTGCCTCAGTTCAATCCAGCAAGTTGTCTGTAGACTTCAGCTGCGTGCAAGGTTCCCAGCGCAGAATTCAAGGGGAGGGAACACCTATCCCGTGCCCATGAGCAACGCATCGCTGGATAAAGGGGGAAATCCATCCCTTAGTAACTGCGTGTCTGACGAGCTAGAATAATGCCATGGTGGAGAGGCCCGCCGCTCTGCCAGAGAGAACCCAGGAAGGCTCCTCTCGCGGGAGCTGTATCTTAAGGTCTTAGGGCTGAACAGGACTGTGCAGGTGGGACGAGGGGGGAGAGGACATAGGAGGGAGGGGAAAGGTGGGAAGGATTGGCGTGTAGCCTGTAGGGTGTGTGTGTGTATGTGTGTGTGTGTGTGAGAGAGAGAGAGAGAGAGAGAGAGAGAGAGAGAGAGAGAGAGAGAGAGAGAAAGAGAGAGAAAGAAAGAAAGAAAGAAAGAAAGGAAGGAAGGAAGGAAGGAAGGAAGGAAGGAAGGAAGGAAGGAAGGAAGGAAGAAAGAAAGAAAGAAAGAAAGAAAGAAAGAAAGAAAGAAAGAAAGAAAGAAAGAAAGAAAGAAAGAAAGAAACTCTTCAAAAAGCAGGAGAGCTCCTGAAATTTCCACCCCCTCTCCCTCCGTGCCCATGAAAGGGGCAGCTGGCGAGACTTGTGTCCCCACCGCCTGCCACGTCCACCCCATCAGCATGCCTTTGCTTCCCCTAATGAGGGGCTGGGGCTAGAAGGGCTCCCAGCGCCTCCCACACCTCTTCTGGGTTCTGGGGAACTGAGCATACAAATGGTCCCCAACAGGTCACACATCCACATCCCAGGGCCTCCCTGACATCCGTGGAACCAGAGCGTGTGGCAGGCACGTTTGTGAACGTAGAGCCACGGCTGGGAGAGAATAGGACGTGAGGTCAGTGTCCAAGTGGTTGCGATGGGGGGCGGGGAGGTGGTGTTGGAGGGCCAAACGCAGGCAGAGGGCATGGCAACAGAGCAGGCAGGTGTGTGCCACAGAGAAAGAGGGGAGGGAGATGGGAGCAGGAGGCAGGCAGAATGAAGAAGCAGTCACAGCTGCGCCCTCACAGGGAATGAATGGCGCAGCGGGGAGGGGCTAGGCCCTGGCTGCAGAGAGCAGGCAGAGGACAGCAGCCAAATAGGCCATCTGCTTCTGGGGCACCGTCCTGGCTGCAGGGCTCCCTCTCCCTCCACCCAGCCGAGCCCCTTTCGGCGGTTCCCCCGGGGGAGGGGGTGGCTGCCAGGGGCACAGGAATATGCCTTGCTCTGGTGACCAGGTTCTCGGACTGGGGCAGCGTCTCCACGACAGCTGGTGGCCGGGAGCCTGCCGGCCACGCACTGCCCTTCGGGCCAGGCTCTTGGATCTGCCCCTTCACCGGTGTGCCCGGCAGAGGTGAGCTCTGCCAGCGCCATCTGCGACGAGGGCACCGAGACACCTGGTCTCGGGACTCCCAGGGACGAGGGAAGTGGGGAGAGTCATATGAGCAAAGGGGAACCCTCCGGCCTGAGTCAGGAAACCGGGCGCTTGCCGGGGCTCTGTGTGACCTTGGGCCAGCCCCCTCCCCTCCCCTTCCCTTCCTTCCCCTCCCTGGGTCTTATTTCCCCATCTGTGCAAGAAGGGGTTCCCATTAGATGGTCCTACAGGGCCTGAAGCTGGATCCAGTACCTGCTCAGGGGAGGAGCATCACTGAAGAACCCGGCAGCATGCAGGCTGGCAGGGCCCCGGGAGACACATCACCCCACCCTCCTTCACCGAGGACGGCCCAACAGAGCCTGTGGCTCCAGGCAAAGGAGGGTCTCTCCCCATAATTATATCGGGGGGGGTTCTTCTCAGTGCCCTGAGGACCCCCCACAATGCTGCCTGTGATCTAGGCCCAATCTCAGCAGATCCAAAGAATGTCCCGGACCGTCCTCGCCGTCATCTCCAGAGAACTTGACATTGGCTTCCAAATCCTACCCCACCCCCACCCCCATTCTCCTCTTTGAATCACTGGCCCTCAGACCCATCTGGTGATTTTTGTGGTTAGGGGACCCACGTTGGGGCTCCAGGTGGTGGGTGGTGGTCAGGGTGCCTCAGCTCTCAGCCCCTTTTAATGTTTGGGTTTCGCCTATAAAGTCAGAACATCATCACCCTCCGGATGGAGAAAAATGCTGGAAGGCAAGCCCCACCCTCCACACCCCCACTGCTGTCCTCTCTGGGAACCGTGCAGAATCTGAGGGGTGGGGTCCCTCAGGATGTGGGAACTGCCTACCCTCCCAGAGAGGGTGGACAAGAAAGGGAGACAGCAGACCGAGAAAGAGAGGAGGAGATGAGAGTGGGGAGTGGGCAGTGGTCCCTAGAGTCTGCAAGCTTTTCATTTGCAGCAAACCTGTCTGGACTTTCCTTAGAAATAAGACCTCCCCCTGCCTTCAAGTAACACCATAAGCCAAACCTCACTGGGAGATCGCGATGCCTTCCTATTCTCCGTAGAAAAGAAAGGCCCTGGCCTCCAATCTGAAGCTCTTTCCCAGCCCCTCTCGGCCTTCGCAGGGGCCGATGGGGCGTCCGCACTTGCTTGACGTGGGGGCTTGGCCAGTGCCAACTCGGGGAAGAGCTCCAGCTGGGAATCTGGAGCTTGGCCACCAGCTGCTCCTTCATCCCAGTCCCTCCTATCTCAGGGCCTCAGTTTCCTCATCCGGGTGATGAAGCTGCTGGACCAGGTGCTTCTAAGAGGCCCCTTTCCTGCTCGCTCCTTCTGCTACCCCTCCATCCCTCTCCTCGGTGACTCTCTGCACGTTAGAAATGGTCACTGAGGTTCCCACAGTCTGAAGTTTAGGCAAAAGCTGATTTAAACTGTTCCCAGCAAACAGGACCAGCCTCGCTCAGAGCACTGTGGCTCCACGGACACCCTGTCAAACCCCACGATGACCAGGCCGGCTACACTGGGTCTGCCGCTTCCCCAACCAGCCTCAAGGTTTCAACAGGCAGCCTCGGCCCAGCACCAGGGGTCCAGAGTGGAGCGCAGTAAGGGCTAGGGAGTGGAGGGTGAGGGAGAAGAGAAACAGCCGCCGTAAGAACAGAATAAAAAAATCAAAGAGAGAGCTGGCCGTCCCTAATGCTTCTGCCCGAAACACACACACTGGAGAGGAAGCCAGGGAACGCCAGAGCGCCGCCACGCCTCGCAAAGCCACCGCCTTAATTAACAGCATCGCTGGGGAGGTGGGAGGCTGAGTGGTAATTAGATTAGAGACAATTAAAAGCCGGTCGGGAAGATAAATAGCTCTGTGGCCGTCACCTGGCAGGGGGCACACGAAGCAGTCATAAGCCTTTCAGCTCTGTATTCCCTCCAGCGCAGCTCCCTCCTGTTCCTGGTGCCCTCCGGGGCCCGGGTGCTGGTGTGCCTGGCAGCGAGGGGCTGGCACGCCCCTGGGTCAGAACTGAGGCGGAGGGGCAGCAGAAACTCGGTTCCTGGCCTTGTCTTGGGATGTTTGCCTCGGGCGGACGTAGGGTATCGGGGCCTCAGCAGAGAGAACCCTTCAGTCGGGAGCCCATGGCCCCTCAGTTACAGAATCCCAGCCTCAGAGGGACCACACGGGCCTGCGCTGGGCCTGCCACGCACGGCCTTGGGACAGGAAGGGCGCGGGGCCTGTCGGCTCCACCTGCGCTGTCCCGTGGCTGCTGGTGAGAAGAGCTGCTTCTTCGTCTCGGGCGGTGTCACTGCTGACAATGGGCCCTGGAGCTGGACACAGACCGGGTCTCGAGTAATCTCTGTCCGAGTGGTAATAGCAAGTAAGAGAAACCATGCACTGCTCCGTTGCACGGCCAGGAAAGCATCCCAGTGTTCTAAGCCCGTCTGAGTTCGATGGCCTGGCCTAACTCTATGGCCATGGCCATGGCCAGGGGATAGCGGAGGGTTCTTTCCCAATGGAAAACTGGGACACTGGCGCCGTAAGAAAGGGAAATAAACTCTGGGCAGGCATCGTCCACTCCGCCTTGGCTCTGTTATGCTTCTGGGAGCCACACGGGACGTGTCTAACTCCTCACCCATGAGGCAGCTGGCACAGCCAGTAGCTATTGGCCCTTCCCCTTAATTCTGGCTTGATCTCATCTTCATTGTACCTGTGGGACCAGAGAGGGACCGATAGAAAAGAGACCGATAGATGGCCTAGAAACACCCACACAGGCCCAGGAAAACCTACATGGGCCCAGGCTTGGGCTGGGCCGTACCTGAGGGTGGATCTGCTTCTCTTAGGTAAGGGGCCGAGTGCCAGGCTGGGAGCACCCAACAACTTTGCCTGGGAGCATGGTGACCGTCGGTGCTGGGCAGCAACCCCAGAGGACACAGTGGCCTGGCCCAGATACTCCCCGCGGCAAGGGCCATTGGCCCCCGTGGCGGAAGGGGGTCTGGTGAGCAGGGGTCCCCCTTTGTTTTGTCTTCCCCCTGAGCCAGGCCTGCCCACCTGTCTGGTCTGCGTGTGCCCTGGCTCCTCTGTGTACTGCAACAATGCTGACCAGAAAGCGTCCCTCGTCGTCCCCGGACAACCAC